GGAAGAAGAAATGTAAAAAAGCCTGGAATTCTAACAATTTCCATCAGGGTGTAACGAAACTTTCGCGATGCAGGAATGCAACTTTTATTACCCAACGAACTAATAAACTAATAAATTCAGGAACTTGATAAACTGATCCGTCGATCGATAAGATACCGGTACACTTCATTATTCAACATTGTCTGCAACTTACCCACGCCTCTCATCGTGCCCATAAATTAAGCCGTAACTGTTGCGGCAGCCTCTCAAAAATTGAAATACCTGTTCGCATGAAAATTTCCAAGTTCATCGATCGATAGCAGGAGTCTGATCGTCGAACGTCGTTATCATTAATAAGCAGGATCGGGGGGTTCTAGGGACTGGAGTTTACGGACGGAACGTTAGTTTCCGCAGGAGTCTCGGGAGTTGTCGAACTGCTCGTTCGGTTGCGGTGATGTGACAACTCGCCGAAAACGGACACCGATTCCGTTGGGAATCGTAAAGTTTCGCGGTCACCAGAGAGAGGGAAATACAGCCAAATGTTTTACTTTTTCATTACACGTGACACTTGGAAATTTTCTGGACCATTCGCACGAAAAACTTCCGTTTGATGGCACTGTTTATGGTGCTTTAGGGCAGGCCTGTCCTCAGGACTTCCCCCACCATTTGGTAGTGTCAGTAGTGGGGGAAGTGGAATACGCGTGAAATATTGAAAGAGTGGGGGGAGTCGAGCGCGAGCTCCGTGGTGGGGGAAAGAGCGACGAGTGGCCCGCGGGCAGGTTAGGTTAGGTCTGCTTCCCCCACCATTCGGTAGTGTCAGTAGTGGGGGCAGTGGAATACGCGTGAAATATTGGAAGAGCGCGAGCTCCGTGGTGGGGGAAAGAGCGACGAGTGGCCCGCGGGCAGGTTAGGTTAGGTCTGCTTTAGGGTTTTTCAATAAAAAGAACCTAAACTCCCGTGGTACTGGAATTCTTAAATTTTGGTTTCAATGAAAAGCTGAAGAACAGCTGGTCAATAAATGAAGAATCATATACTACTAGAAATTCGAACTATTGCAACGATCAGGTGAAATCCTTTGCACCCCCTTCGGTCAACCCTTTCCCTTATTCTTCCCGAGCACTTTACGTGGCTAAAATACTTGGGATTCGCGGGAATTTCCACGCGATTGAAACTCGCTGAAGGGAGAAGTGGTTTCGGTAAATTCCCTGGCATCTATCCACGCGTGGATGCGTTTCATTTTAAACAGGGAATTTCGTGTGAAGCGAATTGGCCAGGTAATTAAAAGGAAAGAAGGCGACGGAAGTTAGTTTTTAGAATTCGAAGGGATCGACAAATCCTCTTTCATCCCCTCGAAATCCCTTCAAATCAATTCCCAAGCTCCATTTAACCCGGTTGGATTCTTGTTTTTCTAACAAAAGACGAATACAAATCTCTCTCCATTTTGATTCGAGAGCGTTTTAACGGGTACAGATAAAGATGGTTTGATTTCCCGGCGTGAAGCCCGCCCCTGCATCAGGGGTCGAATGATTTCTCGCTGAACATCGTCGGCTGACAAACGATGCCCGGAAAGCAATCGCCGTGAAAGCCTTGCTCTGTTGCTTGCTTGCTTGTATGCACGTGCTCCACTCTTATCTGCTTTTAAGAGACCTTTCCAAAGGGGAAGGTTTTTTATAATGTTGCTGCTGCTTGACAGAGGAGTATTTCATGGTTTTACCGTGAAACTGGGGGGCTTAGGTCTGTTCGTAAGAATTTCAAGACAGGACGTGGACAATTTTCAGTTTCCCATTCGCTTCGAACTCGCCAAGTTACGTTTTCTTTGGAGAACTACTCGGAAGATGAATTTTGGATTCGATGGAAGTTCGAATTATCGACGAGTTTCCTTCGGGATATTCGATGATCCTTAAATTTTTATGAGAATAACTTCAAATTTTATAAAATTTTATCATTTTTTAAAAGATATATATTTTTTTATTTAGTTTCATTCCACCACCACTTGTGTTTGCATTTTTCTGCTTCAGCCCCCCAAGTTTCTCACCTACCCTCCCATTTTATATCCACTCTCCTTGTAATTTTACTCTTTTTCCTTGACTCCTTGGCCCGGGCTCGTTTCGAGACTCGTTAAGAGTTTCCTGTCGCAATCTGGAGATCTTGCTCAAGATTAAAAGGCATTTTTACGCGGCTTACCCACCTCCCATTTCCCGTTAACTGGTCATTTCGAATAATTTAGATACTCGTCTAACTACCACTTTCACTCTGCTCTTTCTCTCGCTTATCCTTCTTTATTTGTCCGGCCAAATTGGACTTAATTCGATTAGTTTTCAACGCTTCCTTCAAACTATTTCACTCTGATTTTATTATTTATCAGAGTTTTTAACCCTTGAACAGAGAAATCTGTGTAAATCGAGAGGACACTAAAATTGGGTCTCTCTCCCTGGTCCGTCATCGAAAAATTAGTACAGAAAACTTGCTAAATGTATTCAGATTGCTTCCCACTTAAAAACCAATGAAACAAAGCATCATTTTCTATTTTTCATCCTAGAAAAAAATGGCAAATAACGAATAGAAAGAAATGATTTCACAGATTCCACCCATATCATCGAAAGAAAAGTTACCACTTTCCCCAGTTTGCTCGAGCTCGGAGAAACGAAACCATTGTTACCCGAAGAAGTTTCCCTCTCCCTAAAGTGCAACGAAACTATTTTCAATTAAAAGCAGGGAAAAAGATACCGGAAGCTCGTATTTCTCCCTTTCTGCCACGGTACCGCGGCCACGAAACTTTCGCAATTAATAAGTAATTCCTGCTCGGTTTATAGCGGCGAGGAAACTGTCATAAAAACTTCCCCGGGCCATTTCTTTCCGGCTGGCTCTCGCCACAGAGCAAGAACAATACAAATAAATATCGAAGATATCGTCGCGGGGGATCGATTCCATATTTCATTCAGCGAACTAATTCCGCTTGTCCCGCGTTCTTGTACTCGTATCGAGCTTTTCAAAGCTTTCAACCTGTCAACGGTGCTCGCCGTAAGCTGCTAAGCTAATTTCCAACGACTAATCTCGTTGCTTAAATTGGAATTTCGTCGGTGGAAAGTTAGATGTTCGAATGTACGATCGGAGAAATGAATTTTACAGCGAACCGTGATGCAGGAATTTTGTGAAATTATTTAGAATTTAATTGCAATTAATGATTTAAATATCTCGAAAATCATTTCCTTTTTTTATTATACGGTTCAATTGACTGCGCTCTAAAATATTGACAGGAAAAAAGAACTCTGAAATTGTTTCCCGATGAAGAACATGTATACAAGAGACCAAGTACCAGGAAACAATAGAAGAGCGAAGCCTGCACGCGTTTTGTTTGCGGATTTGTTCTGCAGTAAATCGAGCAGCACACCGGAAGTACAATTGATGCGGCTATTGAGCCAATGTGTTTGAGCCAGCCAGTTCAAGAGAATTTCAAGAGTGAAATTTTGTTACTGTTAACAAATCGTGAAGAGGACAGTAGAAAAAAAAAAAAAAACTAAAAAACGAATTGAGCTGAATTTGTTATTGGACAAAAATGTACCTATGTTACTCTATTATTAATTAAATTAACACTGGGAAAATAAGAGTCTGCTAAATTATTTATTTTATATTTTCTGCTTAGAAAATATTTAATGAATTTTTATTAAAACATAAATTATTGCCACGACGAGGTAATTTATTAAACAAGAAATTTCTTCTCCGAAATAGTATAAACAAGGGGAATGACTGGTGGTTGAAATGTGTCAAGTGATAGGATAGATGACAAGCAGAGGGACACGTGCAAGAGACATCTAAACAGCTGCAAAGACAACTCACATGACGGACAGTGTCTCCTGGATAGAGAATAGAACGGAGACAGGATCACGGGGAAGATGGACTCCCTCGTCCCTGGGGATTGTTCATAAATTATGGACGCGTTAATTATAATGGAGTTTCCGGGCCTGGACTGTTTATCGACTTGACAGTGCTGCTTAAAAGGGTTATATATCCTGACAAGAAATTTCCCAGTCTTTTGTTAAGAAAAATTATTTGATTGTTATTCAAATATTAAATATTTTATTGAAGACTCTATTTCCAAATTATATTTCTAGCTACAAAACTGTAATTATTGCAAAATGAAATGAAGGATGTTGGAGTTAAAAAAATTAATGAAACTCCATCAAAAAATCATTGAACTAATGAAAAATTTATCGCAACCCTAAATTCCTTCTTTAGGAATATCATAAATCTTAGCTAAACGTAGAATTATAACTTTACAACCGTTTCGAATTGTCGACGAATCGGACACGTTAATTAATCACGTTCATCGGTTAACAACGTTTAGGCAGTCGAATCGCTGGGAGCAGTAGCGTTTTCGTTGCTTTTCACAGGGAATTCTGTCGGAACATCGTCGCATAAAGCTTCGATTATATGCTTCGAGCTAGATACACTGTCGGAGGTATCGATAATCGAAGCATGAACGCTCTCACAAACGGTTGAATACTATCGAACGCGAAACAGATATTACGCGAACAATTTTCGGAAATAAATGCTATAGTCTTGATGGAACGTGGCTCTATAATAAAATAATTTATCGAATTAAAATTATTAGAAGAAAACTGAACCTGAAAATGAAATCCAAAAAAGGCTAACAAGTACCATTTCAAAATTTCTGAAAAGCCACCCTGAAAAGGTTATTCAAAAATGAAAAATCCAAAGGCCAAAGGCAAAGAGAAGTTCGCCAGTGGACTTCTGTACACCTCTTGGAAAGGAAAGCGAATTATGAAAAATATTAAGGACAGAGGGAGCCACTCGTGAAGAAGTAATTGCCTGAACTGGTTCGCAAAGGGACCATTGCTTCCTTCAATATTTATTGAAAATTATTAATATTAATTTCAGCTAGAAAATGTTTATATTATTGAAAACTGCTGAAATTGTTCTTATGATTATATAAATGTTACTGGAATACAATTTGCCCATGTCGATAGCAGTAAATAAATAATGTTTATTAATCTACTTACCGCGTTGTTGGCGTGTGTCTGATCCGTTTTCAGCTCTCGGTGATTGCTGAACTGCACATAAACCGCTCGTCCTCGAAGCTGAGCGATACAAGAGGCGTAATAGCTCACCATCGTTGCTGCAGCATTTTCATCCGCCATTTCCAAAAACGCCTGCAACAGGAAATGGGAAAATTCTGGTTAGAAAACGTCACTACCATTTACCAATTACCACAATTTTTAAATAATGCTTGCAAGAGGTCATTATAGCTCGATTTAAGCGATGGTAATATTCCAAAGGGTGGATGACAATTTTTTAAATCTCAGAAATCCTTGAAATCCAAACGTTTAACAGGAAATTATCTCGGTAATTCCATTTACGTCGATGATTCATGTAGAATAATAAATTATGCATTGTATGGTACATAGTACGAGAAAAGAAATTGCTAATTTCATGAACGGTAACTTAAGGGAGGAAATGTCCTTCTGGACATAATAAATAATTAATAGCACTTTACTGTAACAAGTGCTTTAAGCGATATCGATTTCTCGTTCAAGCGTCTCAAAGGACATCTTTTTCCATTCTTTTCTTTACTCTCGTGAAATATTCTACATTTTTTTTTTTTTCTCCTTGAAGCACAGACTACCCTCTCTTTGAGCTCACTGAAAATCAGGTACAAAGAATATTCTTTAAAAACGATCCAAAAATGAAATAGAAAATTCTTGTAAAATTACTCTTTTGAAGAGCATTTTTTAATAAAATACTGATGAAATATATTTGCAATAACTTAGCTACCAGGGTAGAGTTCTATTTTTCCAGGTCACACGTCGCCATTTTATTTCCGATTTTACATCCTTAAATTTGAAATTGTAGACAAAAGTTCGCTTAATAAATACATCTAATACTCTTTTTTGTATCTTTTATATTTTTTGAAAAAATCATTTCCAAAGTTACCTATTATTTTATAGCATTGAGGGATTTAGCACTTTGACGATTTTTTTAACAAGTTTCCATTAATGATACTTAATAAATAGCTAAAGAAGGGATAAAGATCTGAACAAGTTGTTTCAGTGAAAAGTTCAAACACGATCTTCAGAACAACTTTCAGATTCCTTGTGGAATCACGCAGGGAAAAAGGGAGGAAAACAAGCAAGGAATGCATTTTTACATTTGCCTCGGAGCACACGGCAGTAATGGAATATCTGAAGTTCGGGGTTGAGTAAACACACTCGAAATACAGAGAAATTCAGTAAAGAGAGAGAGAGAGAAATAGAGTAAAAGGAAAACAAGCAACTTTTGAGAAACTCGGTTGCTGAAAAGTTTGATTTTAATTAATCCATCGCATTGAGAATTGTCAACAAGATATTCCATTTTTTTTAAATTTTTAATTTTCAATCTTTAAGTACAATCCTTGAACTAATCTCCTTTTTTCTTTTTTTTCGATTTTGGATTTATGTATTGGATTTCGTAGCATTTTATTTCCATTACTGTCCTCTCTTTGGCAGGATAATAAATGCTGAATTACAAAGGTAGTTAAAGCATCAAACTTTAAATTAATAATTAGGAGTTGCAGAACCAACTCTTTCTTCCCCTCTGGCAATTCTCCCTGAAACTTTGAAATTTTATTTCGACTCTTTCTCTCTGCTCGTTTCATTTACCTTTTTCCTTCTCGTTTTCAATGTCTCCTCTCTTTTAATTCCTTTGTTTCTCCACCTGTGTGTCCTTTTAAAGAACTTCCTATTCCCAATTACATTATGTTTAACTTAACAATTATAAAAACTTCCATTATTCAATGGAAAGAACGAAGAATATTCAATTATAAATAAATTGTAATTTTTATGCAGATATTAAAAATTTTAGATCAATATTGTAAGGCAAGGCTTTGCTATTCAAGCTGTCGTGACGCCATTTTATTTCTTTTTTCACATCTTCGAATTTGCAATTGTAGATAAAAGTTCAGTCAATAAATAAATGTAAAAATATCCCTCGTATCTTTTATACTTTTCGAGGAAAAGATTTTCAAAGTCATCTGTTATTTTGAGACCCTCAGAGTCTTCAGGGTACGAAACTCACCCCCTAATTTTAAGATACTTCGACCGAACAACAGCCACCCTAGTCCTCTTCATCCCTTATGATTTGTTCCAATCGATGGCTGAGAGGAAACGCTGCATCTGCATCGAGCCACCGATTCACCCCAACCCCCAATTCCGCGATATATTTCCAGGTTTTTTGCACGACTGGAATCAATATTGCTTAAAAGGGTGCTTCGTCAGGATACGAATAGAGTGGCTCGTATTTAAGAATTCAGCGGTTTATCACTGAAGAAACAGAGGGAACAAAAGACTGACGATGATCGAGACACGAGGAGAAGGGGTGAGATCGTATCCACAAAGAGTCGAAGGGGTTGAATACTTAAGGCGAGGCAGAAGCTGGAATTTAATAAAGAAAATTCGCCGTTCTCAGTACTTTTACCGACGAGAATTCAGGAATTATTTTCTTATTACATTCTGATGTCTCGAAAAATGATACCACGTTACGAATTCTGCATTCTGTCCAAATTTGAATTTTTGAAACGCTGCAAACTTTAAGGGATGAAGTTAAAAAGGATGCAACAATTTGCATCTTACTAATTGTACTTCCAAATTCTAACACGCCATCTCTCGTTCCCTTTAATTCCAATGCGCGATTCCCATTAAACGAGCCAGGGAATTCGATCGAGATAGTGCCTGGAACAACTTCGAACATCCGGAATTAACGACATCGAACTATTCAATTCCTACAAACTTCGACAATGCTGAATAAACAGGCGGACTACGAAGCAGAACGAGGATTGCTTCGAACCGATGAGACCAAAAGTAGTTTTTCGAATGAGAACCACTTTACATTAGAAAAATCAAGAAAGTAACATATGGAGGTTGTAGTACTCGATGAGACGAATAAATTGATATAGAAATTGTCATAGATTATTAAAATAATTATTGAGAAAATTAACAAAAAACGTCCTGTCTCATCGGTTCTGAATAGCTAGATAACCGACGTGATTTAAATCGTCGAATATTTTGTTAAGGATTTTATTATACTTAATATTTAAAATAAAAACACTTACTTGAAACTGTTATTTATTTAATATTCAAGGTTCGGTACTTGTTACGCTCTTGTTCGACAACCACCCTCGATAAACCAGGTGCGAAATCATCGCCCGTAAAAAAAATCACGCTCGTAAAAACAGTGATCAGAGAAGGGGCTTCGTTAGCTGGGCCACGAAATTTTGTCGCGGGAAAACGTACAGTTTGCTCGCGGAAATCAAGTTTCGCGATCGTTCATTCGCATTTCCATGGGAGGTGGTCGTCATTCTGTAGAGGCCAGCTTGCACGCCCCCGTGCGGCAGCCACTGTTCATATACACGGTGTCCCATAATAAAGACACTTTTACATTTTATAAACACATTCACATTCTTGTCATATATTACATTTCAAACGCAGCACAATGAATCCTATTTATTCAATATGAAGTCACCTTTTAAATAAAATATAAACAATTGAATATTTAAATTTATAATTTAACTATTCAATATTTAAATTTTCTTTATGTTTTTGCTAAAAATTGTAAAGTAATGCCTCAGGAACGTCATTGTGGATTGTTTTCAATCAGGTTTGAAATTGATTTTTGAGGAAGTTAAACAACGGGACACCCAGTATAGCGAAAAATTTGCACAACCGCGGGTAAATGCGTACAGAAGCGCGAATAATGTCGCGACCGGACGAACCGTCCTGAATTTAACGCCCTTAACTCCGTTCCCAAGCGCTAATGACGCATAGAGCCGCGCAATTGGGTTTTCATTTGAATCGAGGCAAATTCAGCGGGGATCTCTGCGTAGGATACGATGTCCTTATGTCAAGACCACGCGTGCGCCGATCAAACGGACGGTAAATCGACGAATGACCGCGGTATTATTGTTTGCCGATTAAACTAGCGCCCGTGATTTCCCTGAAAATGATCTATTCACGAGCAAATGCGGAAATCGTTGCTGAAACAAGCCTCCACGCGCTCATTGACTTCATTCTTCTGATTCTATACCGTTTCTAAAGTCATTCAATTCATTTCAATGCGATATTGTTTAAGGCTGTTGATTTCAGGTATGTTTAAAGCGGTCATTTTTCAAGTCGTAATGAAAAATTTTTAAAAATGATAAATGGTGTTTATAGTACTCGATGAGACGAGTAGATTGATGTATAATATGTCGTAGGTTGTTGAACAGTTTATGAGAAAATTAATTAAAACCGTCCCGTCTTATCGGTTCTGAGTAGTGAAGTAACCGATGCATTCAAAAGGACAGTCAATGGGTTATTCTGGTATATGTTATATATGATTTAAGGCGTTTAATGAAATTTTAAAGCTAAGGACATGAAATAAAATAATCTTTTTCAAATTGAATGTTTGAATAATAAAATGAAGTTCTTAAAAATAACCATCTATATGGTGTTAAATGAAGGCAACATCTGACTGCTGATCACTCGACAAAGATTACCACCTCTCGAAAGAAAATTACTGCTCATTTTCGTGAAACTTTCCCAGGGATACGAGGTAGTAAGAAAAACGATAGAGAGGCACGAAAGACAGCAGCGTGCATCTTAAAAATGTACAATCGCCGGAAGAATAGGTGGCATGACGATAATCGTAGAGGCGTGGATACCGTTCGCGGTAACCGAGCCCATTACAAGGGTAGAGGGCGCGTTTATGGGCTCGTAAATCACCATGAGAGGGTGGCACTGAGCGATTATTATTTTGCGGATACACTTGCCTCTCTATACATATATACAGGGGTACAAGGTTTTCATGGAATAATTTAAAACCATAGTTTAAGGGTATATTTCCCTCCAGAGGTAAATTACAGAAGAAACCGTGACATTTTAACCCTTGACTGATAAAATTAAATACAAACGACTGAAGAAGAATTATTTTAACACTCTGTTGGAGTAGGTTATTTTTATTTAAAAATCCAACCCCTTAGCACAATCTGTAGACCAAGAAATGTAACTTACTTCGCCACATTGAAACTAAAACATGAATGACATCCCCCGGAAAGCAGGGATCAGAACTTACAAGGAATTAACCCTCAAAGAGGATGCAAAAGGGATGGTCGCGTGCAAAAAGCTGTTTTCACGTTCTTAAG